GGTAGCCCAAATTTCGCAAGCCAATCATAGATATCAAGTGTGCATCGGCAGGGGATCGAGCCCCGGACCATGAGCATGGTTGGCGAGAGTCGTAACCGCTCTTCCACTGACGCAACAGTCTGAACAGACGTGAAGGTGTGATGTTAGCTGGTGCATGGAAATGATTAATAAATAAAAATATGGTTATGTATCAATAATTAATCATACTTGGTCCAAATTCCTGATTGTCTATATCTTCTTATGGCGAGGCTAACATATATTTTATGAATGTTTACCCACACACATATACACACACTGAAACTTGAAGGAAGAATATCTATGGTATATACATTCGTACTTCACGCGTTTATGATATGGAAATGTTTTCTAAGGTGTTATCCACAGAATTTTCAAAATAGAAAATTGACTATGCCAACCTAGGCCTTCATTCAAAAGCAACCTTGTGACTGGGAAACAACACCAACTTCTTAATGAAAGTGATAGCAGTCACAAACATCCTCTACCGATGAATTTTCACAATACTAAGCGTAAACTTTTATATATTTTAGCTCAAGATGTAGGAATAATAAAGGTTTTGTGTATTACCCAATGCCAAAATTTTTTCAAAATGTTAAAAGTGAACTTGGTTTGGACATGTATAACTAAGTTGTAGGAAGTTGGTTTATAGTGAATCCCCTCTTTGAGAAAGCATACATCCTAAGTACAATAATTATAGTTACTGACCGTAAATCCCCACAGATATGACACCTAGATACATTATCAAACCGAAAGACATATAATTGTTATCGTGTATTGAGCTAAACAACAAATACAAATGCAGTTAGTGACAAAGGGTTTTAAATTTAGATATGAGACATTTCCAATTTAGAACGTGTAGTCGTTCATATACAAAATAAGCTACAAATGTCAAAATTTACGAAGTTTTATTTGATTTGGTTAATCAGTCCGACATATTTCATGCAGTCTGTTAATTCTTGAATTCATTTTTGGTCAGTTTGTATTGGGAAATGGAGGACTTCAGTTATGCACACGGAAGAAACTTCTCCACCCCCTCCTTCAAACTAAGGCATAATTCCAAGTTCTCCAGTTTTGTTAATAATGTTTTGATTTCTTTTTGTTTTTTGAATTTTTGTATGACATCTTAGTAATATACTTCTCTTAACCAGAGCTTTATTTACAAGATAATTCATTTTTTGAACACATATCTCCATTAACGTCCTATTTCAACCCTTGTCAATACTTACCAATCTTCACCATCACCTAACTAATTTTTATTCCATTTTTGTTTGACAGTCTGAATGTACACACACACACACAAAATAATTATATATAAATGCGATTTTACAGCTAAGTGAATGAATTCGTCGAAAAGAGACTCGTCGTTGAACTTTGTTCTTCTTATATTCATGTCTGGATGGGTATTGTCTGTAAACTTCAGTTAAAAACTAATTTTTCTCAATGAACTTTTCTGGATAACCACTTCTCCTAATATGAATTTAACACCAAGGAGGGTCAATATAACAACAGCTCCAAAGAAACCATTGTTTATACAACAGCAGTTCCTCGGTGACAGCATTAGCGAAATAGTAACACAGTGACTGAAGAATGAAGGTAAAAGAGCTTTCAATGCAGCTGAGAGAGGTACGTTGTCTCTTCACTACCACTTCTATTTTAATTCCGCGTCGGTGGCGCAGTGGTTAGGACCCTCGCCGACCATGCACATGGTCCGGGGTTCGAGTCCGCACCGACGCACATCTAATATCTATGGTCGGCCTGCAAAATTTGGGCTGCCGACATCCATGCTGAAAATTCCATACTTGTACCGAAAATACAGTGTGGAATCAAGCTGTAAATCAAAAATAAAAATAAGGACAAACTACCTAATTTCGCTTTCTCTGTGTGTATATATCAGTTTGACTGCAGCTGCGTAACCAGCCACATTGGGCATACAATTAGGCAGGTTCATTATCGTATTTCCGAACATCATCTGGCATGGTTAAGCAAGGCCAAACAAGATCCATTTGTAGCTCTGTTTTAGCGCACCTTGTATATATTGTGCATAAAGTTGGTGTAACTAAAGGATTTATTTCTTATTTTGCTGTACGAATTTGTCTTCTACATACAGCTGAAGCTATAGGAATCCACCTGAAGAACCCATGAAAAACCTGTGTATTCAGAACAAATTTGTACAGCCGCTTTCCTTACCTTAGCCACTGTTACATGAATGGATAAACCTGCCCCTGAACCTTTACAAATATAATTGTCCAAATTATTTTAATATTTTTCTAACTATTTCATCTCTAATTACATGTTATCATTGTTGTAATCATTTCTACCCGTTAACTGTTTGCATTATCTACCTTGGTTATTATCAAGCCACGTGACATGCTGATATTGATTAATTATTGTTAACAAACATATCACCACTTGATTGGTAAATTGCTGTATATTGTATTAAAAATGCTACATATATTAGAGTAGAACCAGAGATGAGGATCTAAGTGAAAAGCAAATATTTTTTCAGAAACTGATTTCTTCTTTGTCCTTGAATCACTACACAAATTATCAAACTTCAACGAGGAAACATAGAGATACGCCAAACAATCGCACTAATGGTCGAACAGAAAAACCAACACACACAACTCAACGCTCAAGAACTAAAGGCCCTCAAAAAGCTGAAAAATGAGAATGACATCGTTATTCTACCAGCTGACAAAGAAAGAACACCATTAGTCATGGACAGATAAGAATACACCAAGAAAGCTGAAGAACTACTCAAAGACGGGGATGTATATCAACAACTCCTAACAAATCCCATACAAACATTAGACAACCGTATCAAAAGAACATTAAACAAGCTCACCGAAACTGGTCAGATCACAAAACAAGACCAATGGCGAATGAAATCCAATGAACCAGTCCTACTCCGTTTCTACAACAGACCCAAAATACACAAGCCAAATATGCCGCTACTACCAACTGTATCACTCCCAGGAACTCGAACATACAATTTATCCGAAGAATTATACAGGAAATTGAAACACCTAACGGAATCTTGTGACCACTCCATCAATTTTCCTATCCTATTTATAAAGCAAATCAGAGGCATCCAAAAAGATGATCAAGAAATAATGATGTCCTTCAACGCCACAGCATTATATACATTAATTGGACAGAAACTACAAAAGAGACCATGGAGCAATTACTCAGCAATGACAAACACCTCCCACAACAATGAAAAATGCAACACACAAGTTTGATGGGATGCATAAATCTATGCCTAACGACGTACTTCCAATTCGAAGGCCAAATATATGAACAATTCAAAGGAACACCCATGGGATCGCCAATATCAGGTTTGATTGCAGAAGCAGTGATTCAAAGATTCGAAAACAATCCTACCAAAAGTTCAAACCCAAAATTTGGATACGTTACGTAGACGACACATTTGTAATAATCAAAAGAAACGAGTCGACCAAATCTCACAACTTAGTAAACAACGTCTTCAATGACATCAAACTCACAAGAAAAGAGGAACTGAAGAACAAAATCCAATTTTTAGACGTCTTAGTCAGGCGAACAACCGCACAGGGGAATTAGAAACTCAAGTTTATAAAAAATCAACTCACACAGACCAAATACTGAATTACAAAAGCAACAGTCCAGTAACACACAAAGGAATTGTATACAAACGCTATTCAAGAGGGCCAGGACTCACTGCAGCACTCCCACCTAAACGAAATCGAGGAAAGATATCTCATGAGCGTTTTCGAAAAGAATGGATATCCACGGAATCTCGTCGAAAGAAATACACCCCCAAGACAACCTATCAAATCAAAAGCCCCCAAAGAAAGCACAAAAAATCGCCCTACCATATATAAAGTACATCTCAAAAATCACTGCGAGACTTTTCACTCAGTTCTATGTCAACCAAAAGACTCAACAACGAAAGAAGATAGAACCAACATCATCTACAAAATAGATTGTAACAACTGCGAAAAGCACTACATTGGCCAAAGTGGACGTCCCCTTCATCTTTGCATCCATAAACATGAGCTAGCCATCAAAAGACATGAAATCCGCTGCCACATATCACTACATACAGACAACCACAGTCATCAATTCGACTGGGATCACGTTCAAATATTAGACAGAGGGAACATCAGGAATGCTAGAGAATTTATAGAAGCCTGGTATTACAGTGAATCGTCAATCAATAGACACATCGAGATAGACAAAATTTACCAACCGATGAGAAGGAAACCTCACACAGAAAGGGTCAAATTTCAAGTCAAAGAAACAATCAGTTCCAATACAATAGCCTAAAGGGTGTGAAAACACACAACAACAAGAGACCACGTTCAAGATAACCAGGAGAGGTGATTGATAAACTCATGGAGAAATTCAAAAGTTCACTTAAAATTTAAGTATGCTCTGAAGATATTGCCCAGTAGAGAAATTAAAGCTTCGCAAATTAACTATCCAGCTCAAAGAACACAGCCACATCAAAATCATCCACCTGAACTACAAATCTTCTCCATCATATTTAAATAATTCTTCGTTCAATCTTTCTGCTTTCTAAATGTCTAAATGGGGATTTTTTCTGTTTTCTGTTCTAATAGGAAACAAAAGTTAAGTGACAATCGTGGATATGACGAGGGACGTTAGAAGTTGAGGGGGAGATAAAATCGATGTGCAGTAATTCAAAGCCTAATAACTAAGATTAACAACTGGTCCAAAGAGATATAAATGTCTATTTCACAACTGTCTAAAATAATTTGAAATACCTTCATGATTTCTTTAGCTGTATGTTATCATAGGTTTTCTGAAAACAGCAAGTAGCTTATAAGACAGTACACATATCTTCAGCTTTTACTGTCCAGAGATAATTTCTTCCGGTTGTATTAGCCATCTTAATATTATCAGTTTATAGTAAGTTTTCTTTTGCAATAAACTGTACAAATTCTGGTATGTGTGTGTGTGCATAGCATAATGCTTACTTTCGGTGGACCATTAGGTTCAAACATCCGATCATCAGTAATGGACAATGAATCTTTCCACGATTTTCCAGAGAATTTACACCTTTCTGACCAAGATCTTTGAAGTCTGCCAGTGTGTTGAGTGGAAAAGTTGTCCGATCTCAAAATGCTAGGCGACCGAAATGAATGATAATTTCTATCAGTCCTATCAAATTGACCACGACAACTTTTCAGGGAAAGACTGTTTGATTTCCTTTTATCAGAAACATAGACGTTATAATTCCTATGAAAAGAAAAAAAATTAATTGAAAGTTTGATCAAGAGGGATGATACAAAACTCTAAACATATATTTGAAATATTCACTTAAAAGAATCTTTAAAAAATAATGCAACGTAAAGAGTGTGAATATTAAAGAAGAATGAATACCGTAAAGCCTGTAGTCTCACTTACAATCACTAAAACATTTACACCTTTATGTATATTCACAGAGGTGGATAAAGGCCGTAGACAACCTGTAGGGTGCCTAAACAATTCTAAGTTACACACACTTATTCTGCCTCTACGCAGTCAGTTACCTCTCTTCTCAATACTTATTCATATCCTGAAATAAAAACATCTGATTTAAAGCTATTCACAGTACTTGGAAATTAACTAAGTTTAGGAAGCATTCATTTCACCAAAAACCATTCAAATAATAGTAATTAAAGTAATCCCCATATTACATTATTCATATATCAGTAGCAAAATATTCCTGTTTATGTACCGTAAATCTAAGCACAAGCAAACGAGGGAAACATCATTTGGAAAGCGTACAACGGATATAGATATATACGCATATTTATTGAGTGGTACAGTTTCACTGAAATCTGTTTTACACCATCACTTTCAACTGATTCGACGACTGCCCAGAATCTGTCATTTCGTCTTCACATGTTCTCTGTGTCACTCTTCGTCTGTTATGTGATGTCACCTAAAGGTCTCCTCAACGTTTGTGCAACCCACCACCTCCATTTTCTACTGCTGGCTTATCCTCATCCGTTAGACCAGCCCGTAGCTGAAACAATGCTGTCCAATCTGGTAACTGGAAGAGGAGACGTTTTTTATATTTCTTCGCCTGATGGTGATTAGTGCTTGTTGTTGTTGGTTGGGTATCTTCATCACCTCTGTCTTCTCTGTGTTCACTTGCAATCCGATCTTCCCTTCCTGCCTATTCTTCCTACTTGCTCGGTTAATCCTGTACATCTTCGAGGTGCTGAGACGTGAGACATAAGTCATCCATGTCACGTTCTACTAGGGTTTTGTATCATCAATCCTCCAAATGTCCATCCTACTGATTTACAATGCACAGTCAGGAAGATCATCAGGGATAGGAGGCCATCTCGTCTTATTCCTGTATTCACTTCGAACACTTCAGAGAGCTGTCAGTTGTGAATCACTGGCTATGTGGCATAATTACGTAGCTGTTGAATGAGATTCATTGATGTTTGCAGTATTGCACTTCTTAGTGCTAAAGTGATTACCAAACTAACTCTGAGTCGACACAGTCGAAGGCGTTCATATGAATCAGTGGCTGACATTCCAGAGTATGTTTGATGATGATATGCAATGTAGCAATTTGATCCGTGCACGACTTATTTTCCTTGAATACAAGTTGTCTTTGGAGTGGCGTTTTATATCTAGAGGATCTTTAAGTCTTCCCACTATGATACCGATTACTTTTTTTCACAGAGTGGACATGGGCATTATTCCCCACCAGTTCGGGTGTAAACTTAAAATCGCCTTCCTTTTCAAGTTGAGGAGGTAGCCCTTCTTCCAATCAACAGATGGCTGCCTTTCCCTCAACATATTCTGCGGTAGTGGCGTGGGCATGTTAATTAAGTTTTTGAGTCCATTTTCTGGAGTCCTCCAAGGTGGTTAATCGAGAGTTTTTACTGCCTCATTTTGATAATTATGTTCGTTTTACTATCTTTCAATGGCTCGACCTGTACTGAGCTAACTAGCTAAAGGTATCTAACTCGTATGTGCCTTTTTTGACTACGAATTATCCTGTGACCTTTTTTTTCACTTTATAACCACGAAAGTGTTATCTTTTGACCCGAGTGAAACACAGGGCTTCAAGGGTTACGTTCACAATACCCTTTATGTTGTCTTTATGGTGTTGAGGTTGATAGCCTGACTCTGAATATATATTCTGCCTTCTTCCAGCTTGTGTCAATAACACCATCAGTGTTATATCATCATGCAATTACGATTTATGCATAACCAAATGCATCTGTCAGGTGGTGTAAGCTACATCTCAGGTAGTAAATCTTTTCCATTCACAACAAAATGAATAAAGGTTTACGACCAAAGATGTAAATGTTTCTTGTTTAGTAAAGCCATAACGGTGATTTCTCTTTTGATTATGACTCAAACTTCTCAAAAAATATTTTCATTTGACTACTACCATTTCTTCACATAATTTTATTTTTCAGATGTCAAAATGAAATATCACATAAGCTTGAAGAAAGGCGTAGAAATGATGTCTTACAATCACAGGTAATAAATTATTCAGCAATTGAGTGACTCATTTTTAAAAATGACTGTCCATAATGACCAAGCAGTGTTGATTACTGGCTTGATATTTCTGGCGTTATCTTTAGCTAGAAAACTGTGTAGAGTTAAGGGGTCCTCAGAGCATACATCACCGAGTATATATCTTCAGGACGAAAGTGCGAACTTGATTTATGTAATACTGAAATGGGAGACGAATTCTAACGATAGTGAGTAGTAATGCCAAGGAAGAATCTGCTTTCAAACTCGAAATATCATATTGGAGAATATGAGTCGTATTTCCCGTAAATACATCGAAATTGGAAAATTATTAGTAGTTCAGTCACTTATTCCTCCCACTGTGATAACTGTTCAAAATAATAAGAAATAGTATTATGTATTTTAACCTGGCACTTAAATTATAATTTTAAATGAAGCATTTATATAGTGCTGAACATAATGGAAACGCTTTAACTATCTTTGCTCCAGGCATAAGATGGCAATACAGCGTAAAGTAGGAATACGCAACATGGATTTACTTATCTAGTAAATAATAGTGCCATTACCAGACATCTCCTTGATAAGGGTCATGAGGTGGAAATCGCGAAATCCTCTAAAATTGTCAATAGAAAGAATAGCTCAATTATCCCCAATTTTGCCGAACCAATCTCCATCAAACTCCTAAAACCTGATTTATGATTTCAGAAAAAAGCAGTTATCAGTCTTTCCTTGTTCTATCTGGCAACTGAATGTCTTTATTCTTCCCTTCATTTGATTACGTAATATTTGGCTTTAGTATCACCTCTTTGATTTAGTGTAACTTTGCTTGTCTTTTGTTTCTATGATTCGAGTTGAATTCAGTACATTGTCACCTAACTGATCAGTTGCTAATCATATTGCGTACCTGTCATCATTATCACTTAACTGCTTTACCGATATATGCATACACTTACTTGATTTAAACTTGAATACCCTGTGTAAAAACTTTGTAAGCGTAATTTTCTGAGCACTGCTCACTGAGTTCTAACTTCCTGTCAACTGATATCATGTAAAATTTTTTTCAGATTCGTTAAAACCTTCCTATACATGGACCTAATAATTATTTATTTAGGCTGTAAGCAGCTGATGAGAAGCAAACGAAATAAATGATGATACCATATTATTCTGCAAAAACCACTGTTGTTCTTGCTTTATGCAAATAATTTACGGTAAAACTTTTATGGGGAATTATTATTATTTATAATAATTATTTATTTATTTGTGTGGAGAGGTAATCTAAACATGCGATCGTAAAGCAATATTTAAAATTTCCACAGAATGCATTTTGCTATGTCGTATGACATATGATGAACAACCAGGTAATAATAAAAATACTTGAAAAGAGAATCTAAATAATAAAGTTTCGTTTCTGAAGATTATTTAAAATAAGTCAAAAGTGTTTGTTTTTTCTCAAGACAAATAGTAGGAAAAACAATATAGCTATTTGTACCTGATTCTAGGATTCTTTTTAAATTCTAGCATATAAAGTTGACCAAAATCAAAAGATACATTTTCTATCTTATAATAAATTAAATATTGTCCTTTAAGCTGCAGGAATAAAATTTTAAAGGACAAACATTTCTCTCACCCTCTTTGACAACATCTCATTGTAGTCTATTTGATCTCAAAGCTCTTAGACCTTATTCATCATTTATTCAACTAGGCAAATACAATTTTCTCAACAATTAGTCTATTTCTCCTATTATGGATTTGACAGAAAAATTGAGTCCACTTTCTCATTTTTCTTTCTTGAGTTTGAGTTGATGTAACATGATCACCACAGGGTGTGAAGTGCGAAACACTGGAAAAACTATATCAGCAAATGAATAAGGTAAGAAATAATAATAATAATGCAACAAATTACGACGCAGTGGAAAATTTAAACCTTGATTATGTACCATATTCAGGAGTTGATTTGTAAACACTAGATTTGTTTTCAGACTTTGACCACGGATTGAAATCAGTTACAGAACCACTGAAAATCAGGGATTATTGGACAGCTGTTTCATCCTAGTTTGGGAATCATCAGCAGTACGAACCCACCAGGGTCCGAACACAGGACCTATCCTATTGAAGAACAACTTATTTGACAATAAAAACTGAAATTACATAGTTGTTGAGTAGCAAGACAAGACTGCCTATTGTCACCGATGATATTCTTAATTGTGGTGGATTGAATTGTGCGTCAGACTGTGCTTTGGGAGTGAGGAGACAGGAACATGCTGGACAGCTGATAATAAGACGCTAGAAGATATAGATTTCGCAGATGGTTTATGTTTAATGTCACACAAACTCGAAGACTGCAGGAGAAAACCAACAAACTGGCTGAAGAGGCTGGCAGCGAAGACAGCACTGTAGGTGAACAGAGAGAAGATGAAGGTGGTGAAGATAACAAACCAACCGCAAAAACAACAACCAGTACCACTCACCAACAGGATAAATTTAACAGAGTTTACCCCCTACACTTATCTGCTTAGGAAGCATGATTTCCACTACAGGCAGTCGAAACGGATGAAGATGTCAAAGCTGGCCAGAATCGGAAAGACGAGATACGCCCTCATCAATTTGAAATTAGTTTTGAAATCTTCTGAACTGATTCAGCATAAGGAACAAGATTCGCATTTTCAGCAACAATTTCAAGTCGGTTCTTCTATACGGGTCAGGAACTTGCAATGCGCGTCACGTAAAGCATTTCCAACACGTTACAGACT